CGTATATTGAACCTAGTAGTACACATTCAAAACAGATACCGAGTATGACCAATAGTATGCCGAAATTGAGCAGAGAAGCTAATCAGTGACTATAGAGGGTGGCCTACGGAGGCAGTGCTGTGACAGTACATAGCTTGATGATAAAACCTACAACAGAATAAACATCAAGCATATAATACGAACACCAAGCATATATACACACCTACATGAAGCATATATACATACGAACGACAAGCATATATACACACTCACATGAAGCATATATACATACATACATCAAGCATATATACATACGAACACCAAGCATATATACATATATATATCAAGCATATATACATACATACACCAAGCCTATATACATACATACACAAAGCATATATACATACATACATCAAGCATGAATAAATACGTACACCGATCCTCAAGGCTGTGCCTTTACAATTGCCTGTGAGAGGTCCATTGACCCATTCCGAAACGCACCCGCAACCGCAATACCACCCATACGCACACACCTACCACTAGACAGTCAAGCACAAAGTACATCCACATGTGGCACCTGAGTCTACCGATCACACTCTACAGCAATTGGAGTACATACTAAGGGTACTGCCCCGACTACGCCTGAGCCCAATACTGAAGGGAGGTTCATTTATGGTGGTTTCCAATCCTCGCTATACCCTATAACACCCACCCAGCCACGCACATATGCCCATCCGTTTACGTTTACCTGCGAGAGTTCAAACGACTCGTCCTGTGCAGCCGGCGACCTTCCCTGGCCCTCCCCTACACGTAGCACCCCCCTGCGCACGCTGCTGTGCGTGCTCGCGTGTTCAACGGTGTGTGTGTGTGTTGTACCACTCTCGCGTACAGGTAGTTGTAGCTCACTCTCTGTGTGTGTGTTTTTCTGTACCTCAGGCCACACACCTGCGTTGGCGGGAGGTGGTCCCCCTGTCCGTCGGTGCGCGTTGGGAAATGCCCCCACACCAATGCCGATGACCTTAGGCTTAGCCTGCTTGCTCGTATCATTTGTATGTGTGGTATCCGTATCATTCGTAACAGTCGCATTCGTGTCACTGGTGACTGTCCTATTTGTGCCATCAATCGGCTTGCTGGTGCCGGTTGTGCGTGTCATATTTGTATCGGACGTTCTTGTCGTATGTGTGACATTCGCCACACCCACAACCGCGGCGGCGGCTGTGGGTGAGGGTGAGTCGAAGGAGAAGCTGTTTTCATCGTCTATGGCATTAACAGTTGGTGGGTGTTGTGACTGAGTGAACTGTGGGCCTACCTGCGAGTCTTCGACCGTGCGGTCCTCGTATGTCTCACCCTGAGATATGGTATGGACAGGAAATAACAAACACACTCGTTAGTATATTATGTATGGTATGGACAGGAAGTAATAAACACCCTCGTTAGTATATGTATGTATGGTATGGACAGGAAGTAGTAAACACACTCGTTAGTATATGTATGTATGGTAAGGACAAGAAGTAATAAACACACTTGTTAGTATATGTATGTATGGTATGAACAGGAAGCAATAAACACACTCGTTAGTACATGTATGTGGACTCATGCCTTGTATGTCTCACCCTAAGGTATGGTATGGGCAGGATGTAACAAACACACTCGTTTGATATATATATACATGTATATCGGTCATAGGCTCAGCAGTGGTGTTGTACGAATCAGTCAGTCATGACAAACGAATACGACAATTGTTCACTAACCTACGACAATTTTCCATTAACTTACGACAATTGTCTATTAACCAGTAAGTGAGAGAACACTTGATCAAGTTCAATCACTCGAATGCTCATAGACTACACACAGCACACCCACTCACATCAGACAGCTCAAATGACGACCCTGAGTATTGCCGTTGCAGCGGTTGTCTCGAGTCGGAATTTTCCGGGCCTTTTTTGCCCTGAATCACCTCTTGCACAACTGGGCTGGTATTTATAGTTGGTACAGGAATAGATGCACGCTCGTTATGTAGTACTGCGGGGGGTGGGCTATCGATGCTGTCATCGTCCTCCTCGGAAAAGCTACCTTCGTCCGAATCTCCGTCCGCAACCGACCCATCTGCACCCGAAACCATATCCCCGGGTCCATTCTGTAACAAAACTGAGCCGTGTGCTCGCATCTTCTTCAACCGCGGTGAACTGTTATCGCCACCCGAAGACAAGTTGCCAAGGCTGCGCTTGGTAGACTGGTCCTTGTGAGCTTTGTCGTCAGAGGTGCTCCTGTCGTCCCCCACTCCATCCCCCGCATTATCCTGCGCGGTCTCGCCTTCATTGTCTGTGTTATCATCACTCAAGGTCGGGTTGTTGCCGTTGTTAGTGTTGCTGTTGTTGTGATTGCTATTATTGTCATCATTGTTGTTGTGATTGTTAGTATCATCATCATTGTTATTGTTGCTGTTGTTGTGATTGTTATTAGTATCATCGTTATTGTTGTTGGTGTTGTTGTGATTGTTATTATTATCATTGTTGTTATTGTTGTTGTGATTGTTATTATTTTCATTGCTGTTATTGTTGTAGTCATTATTATTGGTATTATGGTTATTATTATTATTGTTGTTGTTGCTTTTGGTGTTGTTGTCGTTGTTGTTGTGACTACCGCTTTTCCCCTGCTGACGGCTACTACCATTATCCATCGGACCTTCATCCCCTCCCGTATTCCTATCGCCGCTATTACTACAGCTACTACCCTCCCCAATATTCCTACCACCATTACTACCACCGCTACTTCTACTTCCTTTATCCTCCCCTGCCTGGGCTACACTCACGCTGGCACCGTCCTGCTGTTCTGTATATATACCACCACTTTGTGCGTGCCTCCTAATGTCATCCACGAACCCCGCGAATTGTTTGTGAAACATACTTTGCACACCCTGGTTGCTGCTAGTGGTGTTGCCGTTGTCTGTGTGTTGTTGTTCGTAAACGTTACTTTGTACACCCTGGTTGCTGCTAGTGTTGTTGTTGTTGTCGTCTGTGTGATGTTGTTCATGAACGTTACTTTGCACGCCCTGGTTGCTGCCAGTGGTGGTGGTGTTGTTGTCGTCTGTGTGATGTTGTTCGTGAACGTTACTGTGCACACCCTGGTTGCTGCTAGTGGTGGTGTTGTTGTTGTCGTCTTTGTGATGTTGTTCGTAAACGTTGCTTTGCACACCTTGGTTGCTGCTAGTGTTGTTGTTGTTGTCGTCTGTGTGATGTCGTTCGTAAACGTTTCGTTCGTAAACGTT